GTGTCGGGGTCGACTGCGAGAGCCGCTGCCTCCGCGTCGCTCTCGCTCAAGCCGTGGTACGGCGACGCGCGAAGGTGGTTCACTTTTTTGTCCCTGGCCACCTCCTCTGCCTCTCCCTGGAACCACTTGCTTCCCTTTTTGCAGAGGCTGTTCTGCGGGCACTTGAAGCCGAACATGATGCACTTCTCGCCCTGCTGGCCTGCCATGGCATCGACGCCGCCGAGCCGCGAGCCGCGGCTAGCACAGAAGCCGCTGGGCCGCGAGCCTCTGCGCGCCTCGATTCGGTCCGATGCAGCGTCCCAACAACAAAAGCATACCTGCGTGAGAGGCGCGGTGACATCGCAAATTTCGGGGTGACAGCAGACGGCGGCGGCGGCGGTTTAGCCGCCAATGGATGGCTCGCAGGGCGGCGTGGCCGCCAAGGGAGGCCTCGCGGCGGTTTAGCCGCCAATGGATGGCTCAGGGAAGGACCGGTGTTTCTTTTCCAACCGCGTAGAACAAACCCGATGCGCCGATGCTCACCTGCACGGCGGTTGCCCGCCAGGCGGGGAGAGGCGGCGCGTCCGCCAATGAGATAGATCGGCAACGAAGAGAGGGGAGGAGACATGAGATGAGACGAGGCGGGGAGAGGCGGCGCGTCAGCTATCCGCGCTCGAATTACGGAAGCTATGCACCTCAGCCCGCCTGCAGGTCCACGCGATCACCTTACAAGAAGACATCTGGGCGGTTCGCGGCGGGCGTCGGCATCGGCTTCGCTGGCGGTGGTGCCATCTTGCTTGTCGGCTGCAGCCGACTCCCTGCCCTCGGCTGCGCCATGCTGGTCTTCCCTGATGGCGGCTGCATGGTCTTCGGCGGCCCCATGCTTGTCTTCGGCGGCGGCGGCCCCATCTTGCCAGTGGCCCTTCGCGGCGCCTGCTGAGGCTGCGCCTTGGGCAAGTTCGGCGCCTTGGGCTCCCGCGGAGTCAGCTGAGGCCTGGGGACGTGCGCCTCGCGCGCCCGCGGCGCTGCCTTGCTGCCGTGTAGCTTCGCATACATCTCGCGCTTTGCGCCTCCTCGGTTCCCCCAGCGCTTCGCATTGGCGCGCCGCGCCTGGCCCTGCCGCGTCTGCGGCCCGCCCATGGCGGGGCCAGGCGGGCCGCGGTCGCGGAACTTCTTGTAATCGTACTTCATCTGGTACTCCTTGAGCACGGCGAGCACGTTCTCCGACCGCCAGTCGATGGGATTCCCAACGGGGTCGCTCAGCCATGCTCGCAGCTGCGTCCTGAACGCCTCCACCGCGTTGGGGGGCGCCTCCACCGCCTCGGGGGGCTCCTCCACCACAGGCGTCGCGTGGCGCATGTGCGTCGCGAGCTCCTGCACGAGAGCTGAGGGCGGGGTGGCGCGGAAAGGCCGCTGCCGCGGGTCCCGCGGCGGCGACGTCGGCCCCCGCCTGCGCGGCGGCGTCTTCGGTGCCCGCGGGCTGCGCGATCGCGCTGGCTGCGCCGCCAACGTGGGCGCGCTGGCTGGCCGACTGCCGCTGGCGGAGGAAGACCGATCCCCTGCGTTGTTGTCCACGCCCTCAAGGTCGGAGAGCAACTGCATCGCTGGCCCGAACATCTCCTGCGCCGAATCGCCAAAACAGTTCGACCGAGAGCGGCCAGCCAGTTTCGCGCGCGATGCGCGCGTCCCTGGCTACCGCACGCGGAGCCACTTGTTTTGGCGATGCAGCTGCCTCCAACGCGTCGAACGCGCTGCCGCTGTCTGCCATGGCCGCGGCCGCAGTGCGAGGCGCCGAGCGCGACGCGGTGGCTGCGGCGCAGCCTCGGCGCGCGGGCCCCAGCCCACGCGTCGGCGCGAAAGGGGGGGGCCCAACCCCGCGCGGGCTCGCGGGCACCCGCGGGCCGCGGGCTTGAACCGAAATGGAATCGGACGCGGAAGCGAGACTTCGGGAGGAGGGGGAGGGGGTTGCCCATGGACCCATTGAAGTCTTGGAGCTCCTCGAGCCCTCGGGGGCCTCTCAGAAGGGCCCCGCTGGTTCTTGCGACGGGGTCTCGGGGGAGGGGGCAGAGTGAGGGTGGCATTGGGAACCAGAAATATAAGTGAACTGGTGTCCCTTTGAATGTGCAGGTCTTGGTTCACTTTTTTTCGTCGTTGAACGGGCGGTGGCAACGTCGGTGCCTTCGCGCGCGCCCATGCCATTCTGGGTGAACGCCTTCGCCGTTCGAGCAGTGGGCGTCTCCCCGACGTTAGTTGGCGTGGGATCCAGTGCCTGACAGCGGAGGGGGCGCAGGGACGTGGCGCGGGGGCGCGGAGTGGGCCGATTAGGGGAGGGGGGCGGCGGCATGTCCGCCTGAAGGGCGGAGGAGCGCAAAGGGGTGGGGCGGGGGCGGCATGTCCGCCACGAGTTGGAAGGCGAGAAGGCTGCGCTACAAGGCGGCATATCCGCCACGAGGCGGCATATCCGCCACGACTTTTTTGTTATCCCGAGGCCGCCCCGTTGGCCTGGAGAGTTGAAGAGTCGTAGCGCGAATTACTCGCCGCGCGCCCTGGCGGCGAGCTCCTTCTTGACCAGCTCCTCCGCCTCCGCGATGGCCCTGGCCTCGGAGCGATCGGGCGCAACGAGGCAGCAGGGGGCGGAAGGGGGCGTCGAGGCAGGGGCGAAAATGAAGAGAGCGCGGAGGAGGGCGTCGAGAAGGGCGTCGGTGAGAATCTGGCCTTGTCGGCCTCATCGCCCGCGATGTACTTCAGGCTGACGTTGCTGCCAGGGACGCCGACCCTGCCGCTGCGGAACTGCACCTGGGGGGCGGAGCAACGATGAACAGTCGCCGGAAAGGCGGCGGGCGCGCAAACTGCGACCCCAGCGGGGCTGCTGGGAATCGCCGCGCGCGCCCGACGCCTCATCGGTGGGAGGTTCAACCCCGCTCGCCAAGTTGCGTGTGGTCTGCATCTCCCACCTCGGCTTCGCCCACTTGCGCTGCTGGTCCTTCCCAGCCGCGCCGTCCGTCTTCTTGCCCGTGGGGAGCGGCGTCTTCTTAGCCACGTTGCCCGTGGCAGGCGGCGTCGTCTTCTTTGCCGCGTTGTCATTGCCAGGCGGCGTCGTCTTCTTAGCAGCATTGCCCGTGGCAAGCGTGGGGGCCTTCACCGCCTCGGCGTTCTTTTTCGTCTTGGCCGCCTTCGTCCTCTTATCCATGGCCGCGACCATGGCCAGGGCCGCCTCCGTCGGGGTCTTCTTCAGAGAGCCTGCGGCGATGCCGACCTTCTCAGCCTTGGGCGGCGGCGTCACGGCGACGATGCCGAAGTCGGAGTCGGAGTCGAGCTCGATCGGCAGCTCATGCTTCTTCTGCTTCTTCGCCGCGCGGCTCTTGCTGATCGAGGCCGTGTGGGCGGCGGCGGTGCTCGATAACGGCTGACAGTCGGCGGGTTTGCCGCCATCGTGTGCCGCCAGTTGCTGCGTCGACGGCGCATCCGAACTCCCCGCCGCCATCGAAAGCTGGTGGTTCGAACCGGCTCGTTCTTGCAACGGCTCCTGCGGCTGCTGCGTCTGCGAGCGGTCGATCAGCTGGATGGCTGGGTTGGGCCAGCGGCCGCCGCTGCGCGAAAGCCCCACCTGAAATCAGGCGGATCACCGCCGAACGGAAATATTCCCCCCCCCTAGGGGGATGGGGGGGGGAATATTTCACAACACGCCCTCCATCCAGGCATCCAGAAACGTACCCCGCGCCGATCCAGGAACCCACCCCTCGACCCAATACCAGGTGTCCCGCGGGGGAATGCGTTCTGTTATTCCCCGTGGAGCCGTCGGCCAGCGCCCAGAGAACGAATCGGCCGCCGCGATGGGGAGGTGCTGCTGAGGAGAGCCGCCGCCTGGGCCGTGGGATGGCTGCAGCCCGCCGCGGGCGGGCGCAGGCGCGGGCAGCGCGAGGTGGCCGCTCTTCT